CTGTAGGTATGGTGCTGGCTCTTCCTCCCCAGGTGCAGCACCTTGCACTTGTCAGTGTTGAATCTCATCCTATTCTCATCCGCCCACCCCTGTAACCTGTCTAGGTCTGATTGTAGCCTATTCCTTCCATCTAGCATGCCCACATCCCCCCACATCTTAGTGTCATCAGCGAATTTGAACAGGGTGCATTTTACCCCCTCGTCCAAGTCACTGATGATGTTGAACAGTGCGGGCCCGAGGACCCCACTGCCCACCTCCCTCCAGGTCGAAAATGACCCGTCCACACCCACTCTCTGGGTACAGCCCTCCAGCCAGCTGGCGACCTATTTGACTATGTAGGTGTCAACACCACAGTCCCCCAGTTTCTTAATGAGAACAGGGTGAGAGACAGTGTCGAAGTCTTTCTGGACTTTCGGAAGGACTATGTCCACTGCTACCCCTGCGTCTAAGGATTTGGTGACCTGGTCGTAGAAGTGTCAGAGTCAGGAACACGACCAAGGTGTGCTGGCTCCTAGGACCCTGTTGGAACCACAGAAGCAAACCCTTCAGGCCAATCTCACTGTTTGCTCATGGCTACTGCAAGCGCAAGATGAAACAAGGTGATGAGATCTTGTCAGGATCGTATTCCTAAGCTCTTATTACAGCACTTCCCGTCCACGGAAGCGAAAGCACTTCAACAAGGAAGTGAAGTATCGTGATTCCTCTGCCACCAGCTTCCAGATGTGAGAAGGGAGCCTGGGAGAGCAGAAGTGACCTGTTCAAGTCACATAACAGCTCCGTGGTAGAACTAGGAGTGGAACTCGGGTGTCCTCACTCCCAGTCAGTCTTAGCCACTAGACAATGCTGCCTCTCCAGAATGCTTCCCAGAATGGTGTGGAGCTATTAGCTACTAATGCCCTTTGGGGCATCTAATTAGGGATCATGTGTTTGGCTAGTTTCAATGCCCTCTGAAACCCCTTACTCTGCAACTCACCTTCAGCAGCTGATGCAGAACCCTGCGATGCAGAAGCAGCCTGTGTTTGTTCGTAGATGGAGAGCAGCTCGTCATCCTCTACTGCAAAGTAGACGGGCACAATGGTTTCCATGGCCAGCATTTCAGGCTCTATCTCCATGAATTGCTGAGAATTCAGAACACGAGACACAAACTTAGAGTCTATCGCATATGCCAGGAGGCAGGAAAATGAACGGCCAAACAGGGGAGAAACCCAAGTCCTCACATCAACCTTGACAGAACATAACCCTCACCCCCACAGGGGGGGTTTTGTCACAACTGTAACTTGAATCTCTGCACCCTTTCAGCAATGACATTCCCACCCTTGCCTCCCCATCCCCTGTCTGCCTTGCAAGATATTTACCCGGACAACATCCTGTGGGACTGATGACATGGCCTGGGGCAAAATGATGACCACGGCGCCGGCAGATTGGCGGAGGGCCTTCTGGTACTGCTCGTACGAGAAGTCCCCCAGCCGCATCATGACGCAGCGTCGGCTCAGCACGTCCGCCTCGACGGTGCGGGCCTCGGTGTTTAACACCGCATTCCTGGTACCTGTGGGGATGGATCAAGAGAGGGCATGTAGCCGATGGTCTCGTCGTCTTTCATACAGCAACACAGCACGTGTCCCAGAGCACACTCCGTTGCAAGCTGGCTGGAGTATTTTGGAGAGGAGAGATATTTGAAACCATGTGAGCTTTTCCTTTCCTTCGGGACAGCCTCACTGTTGCCCCTTCCCTACATAGCTAAGGCCAGGGTGGGACTTGGCTACACTAATTATACTAGTTCATAACCACCTTTGTGCCATCATGTCCTGACACTCGCCTGTCCTCATTCTAATACAGTTCGACCTCCATTGCAGCTTCCTTCCAGCACTGCAACCCTGTTTGCACCCCTGCATTCACCTCCTAGGCCTATCAGCGCGTTTTGGTAAAACATCCGGGCACCTGACTATTCAGAGTGCTGCACTGACTGACTTTAGAAACTAACTGCCTAAGAGCATAGGAGACAAGCTCAGCAGAAACCTGCTCAACCAGGGCAGTCACTGCATGACATATGGCTGTCTATATACAAGCAAAGCTACAACCATCTGTCCCACTTCCCTCATTGGGATGTTGCTGGTATTGACTGGACTGACAGCCACTAGCCAGGTAAGCACGGGTGACCAACCTCCTTCTGATTCTCTCTATGGCACTACCTCTGTTCCATCAATCCTCCCGCTAGACACATGTGTACAATCCTGTGCAAAAGTGCACTGCAATGCAACAGCAGTCTGGGAGCTCACCAGCAACACTGACTAATGCTCTCTGGCAGAGATCATTGACATGGGGAAGGCTATAGAAGGTGTCATGGTGTTACTGGAAGTGCGCAGACATCCTACCGCTTCTAGCAATCAGCACTGCAAGCGATGGAGATAACGGAGGGGCATGAACCATGCCAGGAGGCAAAACTAATTCGTCCATTTGTTGGCTCTCTCATCATGCAATGAAGTTTTCTAGCTGCTAAAACACTTCACTCTTATAAAGGCAAGTGTTGGATGATGGGGTCTGTTTCACTGACCTGAACGCAGGCTAGAGGGGCCCACGGTGCAAGTGTCAGCTCAGTCCACACTGAGACGCTGAACCAGCCCCATGTAACAATTTGGTCTTGTTCAAGTATCAGATCATTTGCTAGTAGAACATGCATCTTTTCTGCTGCACCAGCGAGGGCAGAGCACCCAGGAGCTGCAATGTGACAGCCTTTGAACGTGACCCTTCACATACCACTTCCCCCCCATGGTCTCTCTGAGCAACACAAAGAGGATTCTTCTTCTCTCTGAAAACTGCTTTTCACATGTGCACGCACACATATACACTGTGAGGTATACCGTGACTTCTATCCTGCAAGCACAGATTTACGTTTGCACAAAGGACAGAAAGAACCACTGGATCAGCTGGTAGGATGCTCCGTATAACCCAGGCTGTAGAAATATGACCGGGTTACCCCTGCTGCAGCCCAGCTAGCCCAGACCCCAGCACATGCTCTGAGAATACTTTGGTGAATCAGAATGCATGACTGAGGCCTTGATCTATAGCATCTCTCCCACCCCAAGAGCAACAACTGCTTAAACCAGCAGTCTTCAGCCTCTTTAGACTCAAGGCATCCCGCGATAGACTCCAGACACCCCTTGGAAAATGCCAGCTCTTGTTTTTTGACTTAAGGAAAACACTAGAGCAATTCTTCTGTTGCACATAACTTAGAAAAACCACAGCAAGGCAGAATGCTGTTAACACTCTGAAATCCTATTAAAAATCTCTGGGTTTCTCTTGTGAATCATGTTCATGTTCAATGATACTCGTATTGCCTGGCACCCTGCGGCACCCCTGAAAGGACCTCAAAGCCCTCCAGGGTGCGGCAGCATCACAGGTTGGGGTTTTTTAAAGCAAGTTGTTTTAAGTAGTACAGCTCTCTTCCAACAAGACCTCAGCCACTGCAACAACGGACACCCGTAAAAATTGTTTCAATGCAAAACGCTGCTTTCTGTAACGTTTTGACAACAAGAGATGACCCATTTGATAACCATGACTCTGAAGGACTTTTGTTTCAGTGGCCTTAGAACAAGTTAAATTTTTGCTCTTAAATTGCCCCAGGGTTAAATCTTAAGTGGGGGGGAGGGAAGAAAAGAAAAATCCTAGTTGGTCCCTTTGGAAAAGAATCTGAGAGTTTGGAACAACAAAAAGCTTTTATCCCAAAGGGCATTTGGCCTCTGAACACACACGGAAGAGGAACATTAGCTACCCAAAGGGTTTGGCGAGGAACAAAGGGAATACACAATCCGCTCAGCTGAGTGGGACCAGAAAAAGAAACAGCATTAAAAGTTAATTGCAAGTGTCTTAGAAATCAATGTGCTGCTCTTCTAAGAGCCCAAGAACAACTCAGGATTTGAGAGGTAAGTCACCATGGCTTGGTTGGAGCTGATATCCTAGCTGCTTAAGTTAAAGCCAACTCAAATCTGTGCACACTACATGCTGTCACAGCCTGCCAGCAAAGACTTACTGCTGCTGGCAGAAATAGTTTAATATCTCCAGAAAAGACAACAGCTGTGATCTAATGAGGTTCTCAAGAAGGAAGCTCTCATGACAGGTAATGATTCAACTCAAAAACAGCTACAAGGACCCGGTCTTCATAAGCAATCTCAGATATCCCACAAGCCACATACAGACCAGCATTTGCAAAGCACGCGCAACTAGCTGACGTTGCTTTATCTTTACAGGTGTTTAATCTTCTGAAGGTTCAGAGAGCTCCAGAGATTCGATCCCCAGCATGGCATGGGATGAATCTGGGGCTGGTTGACTGATACCTACATATTTGTAGTTACTAGAAAACAGCTGCAGATTTAAAAGCATGATGACAGAAGATAGTAAAACCCACAGAGGAACAGAATATATATATATAGACTTTATATTAAAAGACACAGGAGATCGACCCCTTAGAAATAATGCTTGGCTCCGTGTTAGTTAATATACAAGGGAATAAATGTTATGACACGTGACTCATAAGAGCTGTTAGATTTCAGGCTCAAGGCAAGAAGTTGAGCAATCAATAGGATGTCAAGTTTGGCAACAAATGGGCTAAAAGAAAAAGAAGGGATGGGGGTAATGTGAAGGAAGGACTAAAAAAAAGAGGGATTGGAGAAGAGACCAGAACTTGCAGGCCAGGGGGATAGCGGGAACACGGCACAAATTGGCAGGAAGAAAAGGGAAGGTAAAACAGGAGAGATGAGGAAGAAAGGAAGTCAACCCTCCCTGAACAGAGGGAGGGAAGAGCAAAGAGCATGAAGAGAGGTTGCAAGGTCTCTGCTAACATAAAAACCTGCCGCTGTCCTAAGCGTCAAAGAGTTGCATGAGGAGGAAAGGAACCCTGCACTGCTGCAGCAGAGAGATTTGCAATGTTCATGCGTTGCGCAAGAGGCTGTGTTACAAGAAACTTCAGCTCCGCTTCCCCCCCACTGCTCAGCGACCTCTGAAAATGCCCTTCGTGTGGCCGCAGACCTGGAAGAAGGTGAAAACCTCTCTGGAAACCAGACGATACCAACGACCTAGATAACGTTACCGGCGTCGACATGACACTCAGCGTTTAGGAGACAGCCGCTGAAATCTAACCCAGGAGAGGGCGGAGGGGAGAGAAACGTCTCGTGCGCAGACAGGGCTGCCGACGTGGGTTGCAGCGCACACAAGCAGCCGCCCAGTGGAGGGCTGGTGCTGGGCGCGCGGGACCATCGTCTCATGCCGATGCCACCCGCGTCGGCGCCGGTCCTTTGACCGCCGTAGTCACACCGCTGCGGGGTGCTGGGGCATGACCCCACGGAACGGATGGGGCAGGCGCTGCAGGACCCATTATCCTTTTTCAGCCTGGAAAAGAGAAGGCTGAGAGGGGACTCGGTCGCAGTTTACCGTCAAGGGCTTGGTGACCAACTGCTCACCAGGGCAATGCCAGGAGCAACGGCCACAAACTCCTGGAAGATCGACTTGTGCTCCACAGCAGGAAAAACTTGTTCGCAATAAGGGCGTCCAGACTGTGCAATAACCTCCCTCCAAAGATGAGGCAATTGCCTACCCTGTTGGGAGGGGGGCAGGCCCAGGGAAAGGGAAGGGACAGGTCCTGCAGAGAGGGTTAGGTACATATGATGGATGCAGTTAAAGGGCAAATCAGACTGTTCAAGTGCTGGCCAGAGAGATGCCAGGAGGAAACAATGAACAGAAGGAAGTATCTGAACTATTACTTCTTTGGAAATTAGGTGCCTTATTTAGGGTCACACACAAGGCATTTCTACTCACTTGGGGTCCAGAGTACTTAGTCCTATTCTGATAGTAGGCACCTAATATAGAGATGGTGATGACACTCACCCAGAAGGTCTGAGACCTGGATTCTAAGCCTGCCTCAGTCTCAGGGAATTCAGATCAATGTCCTCCACCCTCTGGGAGAGTGTCCTGACCACCAAGCTGTACAATAGGTATGTCTCCATGGTGGGGACATCCTACATTCCTCCTATTGGAGCTGAGCCGCTGTGCAGCAAAGCAGGCAGGAGCCATAAGGCCAGAAGAACAAGCACAGGGAGCCTGAGTCTGTAGCCCAGGAAGCAGGGGTGCTCTGTGTTCCCG